AAAAACTTCAGCAACAGCCAAGAAAGCATTTTGTACAAACTTGCCAGGAACAACCTTTGCCGTTCGAGCATACCTCCATATAAAAGTTCACCTATATGGTACAAATCATGCCTAGTACCGCACATACTTAATCTTTTGTTTCTTGACTTTTTGTAGCTTTGGTTTTTGTCCACTAGCACTGCAGCACTAAAGCCTGCCTGTACATAATCTAATCATTTTCAAGTTGATCAAAGTACTACCTCTATGGCTCTACACCTGAGGCCTCGCCAAAAATAACACACCACATCACATGGTACTTGGTTTACAGTAGACATGTAGCTATAGTATGATGCAGTAACTGCGGGTGGATAGCATCTATAGATCTTCATTTTTACTTTTTTTTTCTCTTTCACTTCAACTTTTCTTGGAAAAAAAAACATGACTGATCAAACTGCTGTAGCCTGAAATACACATTGCATACAGCTGATCATTATTACACAACAGAACTGTACATTATCAACAAAGTGCAATTTGGCACCTAGGCTGTACCCTCATTTACAACAATAAGCTTATTCACGGTTTGAAGTGTGCATGTGCAGTGTGATGCACAGTGGGTAGACCACTGGCAATACAATACAGGTACATGTAAGGTAGCAGAACGCAGTTTTCGCCCTATGGGGATTTCATAAAAGTACTCCAAGGTGATTTGAATGTCCACAAACCATACGACAAACTGCACCAAGAGGGGGATACAAGGACAGGTCTACTTTATACACACTACTGCTAGTGCTAACTTCTTTTTTTTCTACAACAGATCAACAAAACGGCACCGGTCACGAAAGACATCCTTTTCCACATAAAACACCACCTCCACAGGCTTTCCTTTCCTTATTCTTCGCTACACTCTCTGTACAGGACTGTTACACACATAACATAGGCACTGCTTGGACAGGACCCATATACAGTATACTCCTCGTACAGGACCCGTATGCACATGGCACTCTTTGTATAGGACACAAACACATATACACACCCGGTACAGAGATGCTTTCGGCACATCTCTATGCCTGTCAATCATGTATCTTGTACCAGGGCAGAGCTCAAAATCAAGCTAGTCCCGGCACTTGAAAAAAGTTTACACAGGACGACTTGAAATTCTGTTTAGGACCCCAACTGGAAATTTTACAAACTTTATAAAGTAAAGCAAGAATATTTTAGCCTGGGTGCCATTCTCCGTAGTTTTCGCCTGATCCCTAATGTCTCGTGGTGCCCAGCAACACTAGGGAACGGGCAAAAACTATGGAGGATGGCACCAAGGCTAAGAATATTTATGAAAAGACAACATAGTACATGTAAAGCCTCACCAAAGACAAAATCACTACTAGTATCCCTTTTTGTCTATTCAAACAAGTCTGGTCAAATTTTACTTTTGGGCAGAGCTATGAATTCACAAATTGTTCAGACCTGCTTAGAACTCTTGAATAAGCTGGTTCGAAGTTTGAACTGTGCATGTGCCTTGTGATGTATTGTGGGTCATATGTCAAAGTTGGAGGCCCCTGAGACATAAACAAACCACACCTGGACATTGTTTAGTGTTTTGGCCAGTGGCAGTATTCTTTCCATCATTTGGAAGAATTTAGCCGCTCCTGATGGACAAGAATTTTACATAATCCATCATCTTTGACCGACGAAAAATTGATACGTCATTAAACTTTGTTGTTGGCTTCTTCTTCGAGTCCGAAGATCTTTCATTAAACTTTAGGCTTGGACTAAAGAGAGTTTCAGAGGGTCAAGATTTCAAAATTTTCCCAGGGCATGCCCAAGTAGAATTGTGCCGCAAAATTGAGACAACCCAAAAAAACTTCAGGCTGGCTAGAACACTGGGCTATAGAGATTTGCACTGTTACATATAAGGAACCTTCACCTTTGACCTTGTGACCTCGCACATGAGCAGGTCAAACCCTGAACTGGCTTATTGCAGCCGATATCTCCACTTCCCATGTGGCATGTAGCTTTGACTGGTCGGAAAACAGGCAAACTTTGACAGCCATGCACGTTTTTCTAGCACAACAAGATACCCAGTCAACTTCGGTGCTTTACAAGCTACACAATAATGCCATGTTCACACGACAAAATGTCCGGGTTTGCCACCTAGTCTCGTAGCACGCTAAGGACATCTCAAGGTCACTCTAAATACTCCCGTAGGACAAGACAACTGCAGTTTGTGGTGTTCCCTTTTCAGTCCTTCTTCTGGCGGGCTTTCTGGACTTTTTCTACGACCACCTTCAGTTGTCTCACCAGCATCAGATAGTAGTACTGTAGTATCCCATGGTGCAACATTCCGGGCAGAAGACTCACAAAGCACACTGGGAAAGAAAAGGATAGTAATGTATCAATGTCAACAAAATACAGTTTCTTGAATAGAATTGTTTATAACCAAATATTAAAAGAACTGAAATGCTTTATCATTGAAATTGTGCAGTCTAAAGCCACCATTTCTGGATGGCTAAGTGTTATGTTTACTTCTGCAGGAACATTGTTTTGCTCGGTTTCTTCTTGTTCTCATTCCAAACAAATAAGATCAATGACCTAGACCAGACAGCTATCACCATGGTTACTGTGCTGTAGCAGACACCCTGTGGTGTTGGATTACTTTATATAGCAAGTAGCAGAGAGCAGAACACAGCTTGATGGGTTTGTCACAATATACATACATGTATATTGATGTGTTTGAGTAAGAATTTAATAGAGCTGTGGTTTGGTAGGCTAGACTTTGAGGAGGTAAACATCATATATTAAATGTTGTTTGTAACTGCAATTAGCCCTCGGGCAAGTATTTGCAATAAACTTTCTTATTATTATGTGCATGTGTTTGCTCATCTAGTTAAAATCATCAACTCACCTGACAGATATGTAAGCAGTAGATTGTGCACAGCATTTCCCACCCATGCCAGAGTTGCCAGCACACTCATAACCGACAAGAAGTACTGGAAGAAATATAAACATAAAGTTTTTTTACATCTTTGTACTAATCGTAGTACATACACACGTAGGCAACATACAAAGAGGTTGAAATACTGTTAAGAAAATTAATGCAACTTCTTGTTGAAGATCCCACAATGCTTACAATTATACTACTTAGTCTAGTTGTATTTAAAAGACATGTACAAGGGTCCTTCCAGGTGTAAGTGATTCAAACCTTAGTTATAGTCTGGTCTCAGGGTTGAAAAGCTGAGAGTCACCTGTTATGTCAATCCTCCCACAAATGTGGCAAAACTTGATAGATAAATAACTCAGAAGTCCTTACCACCTTAGGTTTCTCCTCCTTGAGGGTGAAGAAGGTGTTCTTACACACAAGTAGGAAGTCTTTGGTCTGCACTAGACTGCCACATATATCATGATAGCGCTGTTGCTGTTCCTCTGTCCTGTATACAAACATAAAATAAACGAACAAAATGCATCACATATCGTATATATCCCTCATAGCCTCAATGAAAAGCAGGCAGCATTTCATTTCAACTTATTACCATTATGTGGTCAATGGAACAGAGCACTTGTTCCATTTGGGGTCAGCAGGGGTCAAAGTGTTTATGGGATTTAATCACCCCTGGTAATTAAGATTATGGTGTCAAAACCAATGTAAAACTTATGACTTATGACTGGCCAATGTTTACTTGATAATGTCATATTTGATGTTCTTACCATTCGCTTGGCTTGATGAACTTGGGAAGTACGTTGGGAACAAGGTAGTCCAGCAAGCATAACACCAGGAGGAGGGTGGACACCCCCGTCAACACAGATGGTTCCAACCAATACACCAGACTGTACCATCACACACAGACGGGGGGGAAAGGGTGGAAAAGAAAACATACAACATATTACAATTTGCATCACTGATGCTACCAGAATATAACTTACTGACATTTCTTTACAACCTATCTATAAAATTGCTCATTCAACAAGCACCATGGATTCAAACTTTTTCAAGACAGCATCATGCCTACCTGCTACATACATACATCTTTGTTCAAATCTTTGCGCTTTACCCATCTCACCTTTGGATGCACATTTGCAGTTTGCCAAGACCTCGTACATACCAGTATTGTGCATCATACCAACATACTGTATATACCAAGCACAATTTCTTCTGAACATAACATTCGGAGAAAGCAAACTCACAATGGTTTATATGAAAACTGCACATAAAAAGTTCAAATTATTTGCTGAAAGCAAATGGAAGCAAAGCAAAGCGACTTTAAAATCAGCATGTACACAGAGACAGAGGGCATGCAGAAATAATAAATGCCTGAGCCCCTGCCAATAATGTATGGATATGGTATAAGGGAGACTTACAGCATGACAATACTTGAAGAGAGAAATTCCAAGAGGAGGGGCCACCACATAAACAAGTGGGCGACAGGACAGGAAAGCAACACATTTAGAAATTAGTTACGACTGGAAACCAAAGAAAAAAAGTCTGAAAGCAAAAGCATATATAGGGATCAATAGCGAAGGAATAAAAGCAAGAATGGTATATGATAGCCCTCCTCTGACCAATGCACATACTCCCAAGCCATGCATACATGTACATGCATACATAGGTTTATACTCCACAGCCATTAAATGCAGAATAAATTTCATAATTTCCTTTAGTTGCCTTGCAGTTTTACAGATTTGCAGCGCTGCTGGGGTGGCAAATAACAATGACTACTAGGATGAGTGTGAAAGTATGCACATAAAATACCTTATATTATAAAAAGTCATATAGTCACCTCACATACTTGGGCCAGGATTGGTAAAATGCATTCAAAATCAAAACACAAATCTAACAAGTGCTGTCGTTGTGATAAGAGCATGGCTGATTTATTTACTAGTAATTATTTGTTTTCTTTCAAGATGTTCATGTGTATCATATAATGTGCATGTCTTTCTAGGTAAAAAAAGGTACTCATTGTTATTATACTTTATAGCACATTTTTAATTATAATATGGCTGATTGTCAAATAGGCAAAAGAAGGGCATTATCAATTAAAAAACGACATAGAAAGCCTCAATTCGTGATCAGCAGCCAGGCAAAAGCAAAATTAAGGACACATTAAAAAAAAAGTAAATAAATGCCCTTAAAAATTGAAAGATAATATTCAACTTCAAGCCAATACATTAGAACATAGCCAGGCTCTTACCTTTAACCTTCACACTGCAAGGCTGCATGAATCATATACCTGCACAGCTTACAAATGTACCTGCACTATAGCTAATAACTAATTAGTTGTTATATTTACAATATACATGTAATACACATGATGTATTTCAAGCCTTGCATACTACTACTAGTATACTTGCCACTGAACATCACCACACCAAGCAATGGAACTAAACCACACTTAACTTGTGACCTTACCAGAACAAAACAGTTAGACATGAGCAAAGGATGATGGGATAGACAGGTTTCTCCCATCGCAGAACCCTGTCAGCGTGGATGATGATGTCACGCCAAATATGGAGGTCTTTCTCCAGTTGTGAGATCTCAACTAACTGGAGGAAAAACAAAAAGGCAGTCAGGGTTATTAGCTATGTTAATGTTGTCCCCAGAGTAAGTTGTGGTTGTCTTTGTATATTGTTAACTTGAGAATTTAATTTGCAAAGGTTCTGAGTTCAAATCCCAAGCAGGTTAGTGTGACTGGACTGGAGTCCAGCTTTAATTATCTGCTCCCCAAGATCTGCCACCCAGCTGTGCAGGCTAAAGCAGGTCCCAATGTTATGCCCTTCAGTACAACCTAAGTTATATTCTAGTTGTACTAGTAATTAATTATATAAGTAATGTAAGAATCTGTGAAGTATAGCACATGTGTACACATGTATCTGGATTTTATTAAATGTTTTCTCTCATGGCGTTTATGAATTAATGGCTTTCAAGAGTCGAGTAGTCGAACATCCTTAAATACTTTAATGAAGTCAATCTAAATACAAATGAACTAAACACTGTGTATTGTGAAATATGTCAGTTTTCAGTTTTGCTACAAACTCTTGATCTAATGTACAGCTCACTTTGAACCTGCATCTACAGTGGTTTCAGCTGCAAACTTGATTTTTAATCCTTGCAAACTTAACTGAATTTACAGTAAGTGCAATTGTCACTGATCATGAGTGCCACACGAGTAGTACTTTGCGTATACATGTGCGTCTACATGAGCCTTTAGGGGACAGTAGCCCGTGACTATTCTCAGCGGTGCCTGGCTAGTTTCCTCTGATGGGGGCTGTGGGTATGGATGGTATGTGGAGAATGCCATCCCCGCAGGCAAATTTATCCCTATTCTCAGCTCTACCCCTGTGGCATAGCAGCCAAATATAGAAGGGGATTTCTGTACCGAGCAAAAAGTACATGATAACTAGCTCTGGGGAGGGGGGAATTTAGAGATGGTTACAAACGTCCTATGAAGAAATGTACCTTCAGTGTGAATCGAAAAGCTTTTCTGTATAAGTATAACTATAACTTTGATAAACTGCATGTGTAAACACCACAAAACTTGAGTAAACAATCTAAACTTTCATCTGTATGGAAAACGAACTGTGCTGTTAACACACAATACAAAACACCCAACGATTCAACAAAATTAGCCAAATGTACCTCCTTTCCAAACATTATGATCACTGAAAAAAGGCAAAAGAATGACTGAGTTCTGGCATTATTCCTTTCCTCTTTTTGACTGACTTCTTTAAACAAATGCATCCCTGCACATGTCAGCTCTACTCCCTTGGGAATTTTAGAACTTGACATCATAAATTTCGTTAAGCTGAAAGCTGGCTCTCATATATCAAACTCATAGATGGTGTAATTTGTATGTTGTCTCTTCTAATAAATATATACAGTACAAAGGGATGTCATTGACACGTTGCCAGATCTAAATATCAACATAACATCTGACAAATATCATATCATACATATATTAGAAAATATATCATATAGTTCCACAAAGGTGCTTGCTTCCAGAACACAGCTTGTCTTCCACATAAAAGGTATGAGATTTAAATGACAATTATATGTTGTTTTTTTTTTAATGGGGTTTTAAAATCCTAGCCTGCATATAACTTACAAGCTTTTTCATTTCACGTCACTTGTAGGAAACATTAGCAAAGACTTGATAGGGCTTAAGTGTTTAACAATTTTGCAATAACATAATAGACTAATAGCCACATAGCTAGATAGGTGTAAATTTGATTAAATGTAGCACCAATAGGTTTTCACTGGAACACCATTTTCTTGAGACATTCATTTGATGCCTAAACCTGGTAGGTCCCTAGTGATAATTAGACCAAATCTTTGAGGAAAAAATTGTTAATTCTGGGGTGTTTTTAAAGTTTTTATAAGATGAACAGGGAACAAAAAATTATGTCCTTGATGCTTGAGCAAAATTATGTGAGTTTGCGCCTGGGTAATTTTTATACTGGACTCATTTCTGAACACCTTTTCTTTTCCTTTTTTCAATGGTTCTCTTTTCACCAAATGTAACATATGTTAGCCAAACACCTGAACACTCAAACATATGGCACACACACTATCACTTTACTTCTTTAGTCCGAATTAAGTTACTCAAGTTGGGTAGACTTAATTTTTTTTTTCCTATGGCAATATAAAAAAAATCCAATTTTCGTTTTGGTTAGTAAGGACTGGTGGGTTGAGGAACAGTTCCTAAATGTTTCAAGGTAACGTTACATGTGCATTAGTGATATTTAGAATGATAATAAAATAATAATTTAGATAACTTCACCAATACAACTTCAAGTGCAAGTTCAACCATGTACACTAGTGACATTGCGTGACATGTGTCTTAAACACTGTAATGAGTTAGAAATAAGGTACTTTTATCATCGAAATATATATTATAAATGATCCACACTGCAGATCATGTCATGACATATTTAGTCATCATCATCCCCCCTCCCCCTCCAAGAAAAGTCAGTTCTAAAACGTCCTTATAATCGGCTGAATGTATCAAAACAACCCCTGAAACCAGCTTTCTATGGTAACAATTCCCTTTACGTGTCCCAACCAAATCATACAAAGTGTCAAAACTGAATTTTTCGGCAAGAAAATACAATTTTCACCTGTTTATCTGTATAACGGTTTTGGTGCTCGGCCGCCATCTTGCTGGTGTTTACTTGTAGAGGGTTGTTTATTTACCTTCCCGTCAACCTTTTCGAGATATTTGCATAATCACGCGGAGATGAAATCTCGCCTAGCGCGAGGAATCACGAGACTCGCTGCCTTTTAAATATTTGCATAATCACGTTTGGACGAAATCTCGCCCAGCACGAGAAATCGCGAGGATTGCTAGTTTTTCTACTAACATGGCGGCGTCAGGAAGCTGTGAGAAGAAAGTGAACGGTTCTGACTCACCAAAATCACAAAAGCCTCCGCTAAATCGAGAAGGTTCCTCCGAGAAAGGCAAATGGGTGAAGTTAAATGTCGGCGGAACGTACTTTTTGACGACTACGACGACGTTGTGTCGTGAGCCCGACTCGTTTTTGTTCCGATTGTGTCAAGAAGATCCCGACTTGCATTCTGACAAGGTAGGATGAAAATGTTGAGATGGGCTTCGATCCTATCAACCCCCCCACCCCATCAAATGTTTTTACGTAGATAGAAGTTAGACTAGCAACAATATCACGGTTTAGATGGTTAGGAAAACAGGATTATGATTATCTCAATCCTTTGGAGTCTGCTATACACGGTAGAAAGAAAAGAGGGCCTCCTTTTTTTGTCAGACCCAAAGTCAAAGTTGTCTCATGGTATCTGAAGAAAAAATTATTTTGATTTCCTTTTGTTATAGTTGTACATATTATGATCTATCCACTCATCCCAAAGGCAGTCAAATTTCAATTCTTGTTTCAGTTATATAGAGACTTAGCCATTTCCTAATATTTTTTTATTACTTTATGATGCAGTCCATGCTTCTACATGACATTTGGAGCAAATTTACACTCATTAAGTGGCACTGCTTAAATTCCTCTTTTTCTTCAGAACTCACATGACATGTAATGTCCAAATATCTGTGGTAAAATCATGTGACAGCACCGTTCTTTGACTTTGAGTAGTCACAACCTTATCATTTTATGACTTGTCTACAGAAACACACATCTGTGTGTAGTGTAAATAAAAAGTGTAAGTCATTAACCACTGAGAGTTGTTTTGGAAACACTTCTCTTGTAATACAAGACCGTATACTAAATGATGTTACTAATTTATATGTACTACTGTACCAGTGAGTAGGTTTAGAGGTGACCTAACATTGACACTATCTGTATATCATACATGTACATACTGGTATGCAGATATATGTGGATGACATATGTATATGTAGTACTAAAGCTGCCAAGAAAACTGATCATACATGAGATGTGCACTTACCTTTAATAAGAACTACATGATACTGTACAGTGTACAGTGTATCTTAATCACATGTTCGGCACTTTGTGAGATCTAACTCTAGTCTAAGGCATGAAGTTGTGTAAAACACGGACTTGGTCCCTACATCTGCTTGGAGAATTAACTTGTAATATATCTCGGTCTGTATGTGCTAGTAGTACACTGAATTATTAAACCAGTATAAATGTCCTTTGGTGTAAGAAAATAGATTTGCAGCTGCATTTCAGTGGATGTTACATTATCTAACACTATCTATATTACGTGGAACAAGCACATCTCTAGCAGTCTTTGACGTTCTCCAGGTATAAATACATCCAAAGGACCACCAACAACCACTCTCAACTACACGATTCGCCTCTCATAACGCAGGAAATTGCGTTCATGAAGGTTTGAAGTTGAAAATCTTGAATTTCCTGTGGGAGCATACCCCTAGCCCCCCTAGATTTTGAGTGCTTCCTTCCCCTCTCAGATCTAATCATGAATTGGGGCTGACTGAAAAGAATTTTGAAAATTTGAACTGGCTAGAGCTTTGCCAAAGCAGACTTTGAAAAATATATAGAAAATAGAGATATACCTACATCTGACCAATGTCATCTAGAGTCAAATTACAGCAATGAGTTTATGTCTGATATTATGGAGATTGTTGAGTCCTCAAAACAATGAATGCTTTCCACATTTCTAATGGGGGTAATGATTAACTAATTAAGGCTATTAATTAGTCACAAATGAACAAGTAGGATGATTAATTAACCAATAAACATCCATAACAATGCATCTGAGCATGTTGACTTAGCCGAAAGATAAATTTACCAAGGCTGCTTTTCTGTTGTAAATACACTTAGTCAGGTAAAATGTACTTCAGTATATTTTATATGTTTTGCATATTTAGCCCTCTCACGGGTTTTATATGTAGCATGCTACATATCTAAACAAGAAGTCAGAGGTTTCAAAACTTCCGGAATTTTTGTCAAGTTTTGGCACAACCGAACAGATGGTGGTGGTCTATTGTAGTTTCGATGGGACTAAGAAACTTTACAGGCTGATACTACATGATAGGGTATATTGTAGGAATTTGTTGCCAGTCTGACAACCTCTATAATCGGGTATCCTCAATGACTTGCAGTACATGTAACTGGGTGGGTTACTCTATGACTATCAAACTTGACCTTCCTGTCAATCTGAAGTTTGAGCTACCCCCCTCCCCCTTCTTGCCACTTTACTTAAGTCATATACTTCTAGACCAAGACCTACATTTTGCCAAGGTGACACTTTTGTAATAAATTGTAATAAACACTTGTATCTTTGCAGTGAAGGCAAGCTTATGATAACCTCATTCTCAACATAGACCTCATGCCAATTACAAACCTTGGCAAGTTACATATTTCTAATCAAATGTACATCAATGTCATGTGTCAAATTTCAAGTTACCACCTCTACATAAGGACCACTTGGCTGGTGTGACTATAGCTACTCTTTGGAGGCTGGTCCTTTAGATGAAATTATAAACATACAATCCCCTCCAGAGTTCCAAGTCATTAAACCCAAACCAAAACACTTCTGGAGGTCTGTGCTCTTGAAGGTCATGAAGTTCCATTTGCTATGACTTACTGGTAAGACTGAAGTTTGCGATCTCTTGTTGTCCTACACTACAGGATGAGCAGGGTGCGTACTTGATAGACCGAGATCCCACCTACTTTGGTCCGGTTCTGAACTACCTGAGACACGGCAAGCTCGTCATCAACAAAGACCTCGCAGAGGAGGGTAAGTTCTAGGGTCAACAAAGGGATTACTTTTTTTAGGTATATTTCAGTCATGAGCGTAGGATTTTGGTGAATAAAAAGGAATATTTAGACAACAAAATCTTGACTCACAGTAAGATTTTGTTGTCTAAATGTTTTCCTTTATGCAAGGTTATGACAAGACAGAGGTTATGCAATTGCAACATTAATTTGATTGAAGTTACTACATCACATGCATGTATTATTAGAATACCAGACACTTGTGTATTTATTCGTTTTGACTGAAGATACAGACTTTGGCATTAGGCTGTCCAACTAGCATGGGGCTAGTGGATTCACAGGGCCTCTGCCTTCTGTAGTGAATGACTAACTCATCAGGCTGCAGTATTCAGACCATCACACACCAGAGCTTACCCCTAGCCTGCTCTTTTGCGAAAAAAGTGTATGTTGTGACATCTTGAGTAACTTGTCTCTGTCAGTGTGTATTATTCAAAATTAACAGAGACCCAGCTGATTTTCAGAAAATGCTGACAATAATGTTTCTGTGTTTATCTGCAGGGGTTCTTGAGGAGGCAGAGTTCTACAACATTCGCTCCCTCATCAAAGCATGTAAAGACAGAATCCGAGAAAGGGACGTCAGAAGGAGTCAGGTAGGCTTTTCTGCAGTTAATCTATTGTACATGTACTTAGGGGTGGGTACATGTATAGAAAACTCAGGTCCGGATCAGGTTCAGGGCATCAGGTCCACGTCCGGACCTAAACCCGACCTAGACCTGATTATTGTACAGGAGTACGATGTCATATTTTGGAACACAAAACACGAGTACAGCTCACTTACTAGTGAGTAGTGTGTTATATATTATGTTCAAGTTGTACAATGTATATTGAAGCTGGACACACTTACAGAAAGAGACAAACTTGGATTTAGGGCAATGTTGTTTGATTCATGGTTATTTTCTTAACCTGCCATGGCCAGATTATCTAAAGATGTGTGTACAATCTACAGAAATGTACATCTGAGGTCCGATGATCTGGTTACCGAGTGTCGTTCTGGTTTAAACCGGTCCGGTACCCACCCCTAATTGTACTGTGAATATGTGACATGGCCCTAGGTGTTGTTAACTTTCAGTCTGCCAAGGTAGCCATTGGGCACTAAATCTGTATTGGCTATAGCTACAGGGTTAGGCAGCAGGGAGAGGGTTCAAAATGATTCCTGTTTTATATTATAGTGGCTGCTGAGTTCCATATGTTCCTCCTCATTGGAAGTGTTGGATTTTCCTTATCAGTAAGGTATTGATAATGCAGATATATCACATATTTACACATAGATCAGAGCCCAAAAAAACTGGCAACTTACAAAAAATTACAGTTACTGTGTGAGACTTAGTGCAAGGCTCGAAATTCATCTTTAGGAATAAGTGCACTGCTGGTGTGCCTACCCTAAAGCAGATTGAGTTATGCTGTATGTTGACATACATTCACCATGGCAAAACCCAAAGCACAACCTTCTTGTCGAAGGTAATAATACTAGTGCCTGTACTCACGAACATTAAGTGGCGTACTCTGCCCTGCAGGCGCCGGTGAAGTATGTGTACCGAGTCCTGCAGTGCCATGAGGACGAACTGACACAGATGGTCTCCACTATGTCCGACGGCTGGAAGTTCGAACAGGTACGTTCAGAAATATCATCTCATGCACCGACACATGTACAGCTGTTCCTGGGGACAGTCTCGGAATCCCCGAGTTCTTGGGATGGTTGCGGAGATCCCGTGTGTATCCCAACTGATAACACTAAATGCTTAGTTAAAGAGTTTGACTTGTTCCAACACAATAAGGAGAACTCACCATAAATTTTCGGCTGATCCCGTCAACCTTCGTCAGATTTGTGATGCAGTCGCTGACTTTCCGGAAGTCGGAAACGTGATGACGTCAGGAGTGCATCAAAAGTGGCGGGAAGACGGTATCTCCCACCATCACGGTTCAGAGAGGGTTGGTGGGCCCTGATGTAAACTGCCTCCTTCACGCCTCTCACAAAGTAATCCTGCTCCGTATCTAGAATGCGCACCTTGTCCAATGTAACTGTATGTCCGGGGGACTCGATGTGTATGTGTTGCGACACTTCCGATGTGTTTGAACTGGGGCGCCTGTGTTCCAGAAATCTAGTCTTGAGAGACCGTTCTGTTTCCCCTATGTATGTCTCTGGGCAAGGTCCTCTGATATTTTGGCCTGCGCACCGAATGTGGTAAATCACGCCACACTTTTGTTCTTTGGGGGTTCTGTCTTTGGGGGCCACTAATAGCTGTCGTAACGTACGGGTCGTTTTGAAACACGTTTTTAAGCCATGTGTCCCGAAGATTCTCCGTAAAGCTTCAGAGGTGTTCTTAACATAGGGTAGGACGACTAAACCTCTGTTCTGCCTCGTAGAAGAGTTTGACT